TGGGAATGGGATCAATGGAGGCTTTGACTTCAATCACCGAAATACTTTCCCGGAAAACTTTGGATTTGCAGCTAATACTCTGAATACAGCCCATGGCATACCCCGAGTACAGTCCGACGTAGCTCCTAGAGTACTCCAGCAATCCTGGGGAATATTAGGCATTGAAATTATCTGGTGCTAGATCAATTACAGATCTTCTTGGTTTGTAATTTCAAAACTGATATCCATAGGATAGAAAATGCATCGTGTAAAGCCTTAATTTGAATATCTGTCTTACAAATACTGCTTCTATTTTTGAGGTTAGCTGCGCTTCAGAAGCAAAAGGGCCTTTAAAATTTTTTCCCCTTTTAATGACCCATTAAATCTCTTGCTCACACAGTCTTTGGGTTAAAAAAAAGTCTCTTGAGTTCAATAAATATCGGTGGTGTTCTTAGCTGATATATATTTAGTCCTTCCTTTGCTCAGATGCAGTCTGTCATTCACAGTCAAACATAGGACTAGCCGGTATTTCCCTTTATTCTTTGGATGAAAAGCAGAATGTTGATAGACACATCTATATAAATAATGAAATAGTTTTTAGCCCCAGCTTGTCACAACCGGTGTGGATTTCCACTTCCTGACTTGCAGTTGTTCATAACTTCCTTTCGCACAAAATTACAATAATAACAGAAAGAAACGACGGCTGAAAAATGCAAAAAGTCGCCAAATCTCCGATTCTGGAGGCTCCTCCGCCAACGATGTCTGGGCTTTTGGGATTAAAATTTATTTTTTTTTTCTTCTCCTTAGAAATAGCCGGACGCAGAGGGAAGCGACGGCGGTGCCGGTGGGGCCGGCGGCTCCGGGAGCGCAGCGGGGCAGGCGGCGATGGAGCCTCCCCCGCGCCCGCCGGGGCCGCGCCGCTCCGCGCCCGCTCAGCGCCGCGGAACCGCCGCCCGTGACATCCCCCGCCACGCACCGGCCCGGGGGGCGCCGGCCCCCCCCCTCCTCCTCCTCCTCCTCCTCCTCCTCCTCCTCCTCCTCCTGCTGCTGCCGCTCCTGCCGCCGCTGCTGCCGCCGCTCCCGGGCGAGCCGGCTGTGGCTCAGCCGGCGGGGCTCATGGGCGGGCGGCGGGGCTGCCCCGCACACGCGTGGGCCCCGCAGGGCGTCACAGCATCCCGGGGAGCCGCGCCGAGCCCCGGCCGCGCCGCCGAGCCCCGGCTCCTGCGCTGCGGGGGCGAGCAGCGGCGCGGGGCGCGGGGGAGGCTSCTTCTCTCGCTGGGKTTTTTTTTTTTCCTTTCGCCTCTTTGCTGGCTGCCCGGGGAGGTGAGCGGAGCAGGATCGGTGCCTCCGCCTCCCGGCTGCCGCAGGCTTCCTCTCCCGCAATACATTCATGCACCCGGGGACGGCGCCGGTCCGGGCTCTCAGGCTCGCCGGGGGAGCGGGGGGGCGCGGGGGGGCTCCGGCTCCGCTCGCCGCCGCAGCATCAAAAAGGCAACGGGGTCAAACTTTGCAGAAACTCGCTGGCAGCCCCTCGGTGCCCCCGGGCGTGCCCGGCCGATGCCGCCGGCTGCCCGGGCAGGGAGCGCCGCATGCCCGTGGCTCTCCCGGCCCCAGCGGCACCGGCTGCGGGTCCGGGCCCCCCCGCAACCCCCGCCGCCCTGTCCTCCCTCCTTCGCCCAGTCCCATCCCTCCCCCTGTATTTCGCTTTTAAACTGCAGCTGTTGAAGCTAAACCTCCTTTGCAAAAAAACAGCATTTCCTCCCACATGTCCGTGAATTGTGGGTAATGTAGTTTTTTTTTTTTGTTTTAGAGACGCCTTTCCCCCCCGTTTATTATTACTGTTATTATTAAATTTACATGCATTGTGGTTTTTTTCTTGAGTTTTTGGATTAGGATTTGCCTGTCTCGGCTGGAGCCTGGCGGGTGGATTTGGTACCAACCAAAGGGGATGCTCTCCTTATTTGCACAACTTGTAGCCACAATTTGGAAGGGCTCTGATTCCTGCAACGAATAATGCAAAGCTCTCAGTAGCAGCAGTGGGACGGAGGAGCAGCTGGAACGGGGAGTGAGAAGCATCAGAGGCAGCAGTGGCCCTGTGGGRAAGTTGTAAACTTCTATTAAAGGCAGTTTTAGGGGTAATTCTGCTGGCTGGTCCTGCTGGCTGAGGATCTGAGCAGCAGGTGAGATGAAAATGTCTGTAACAGCTGATGGACGTCGGACRCTGGGTGAGTGTGTTCTCTGTCACTTGTTTCTAAATAGGAAACCTGGGGAAACAAGAGGTAAAAAATCACTTTGCTGGTGCTGCTTGTGGTGTGGCACAGCAGCGCAGAGCTGCTGTAAATGTCTCTTTAGTCCTTCCCATCCTGCACTCTCAGCAGGCTGGACTAGCCTTTAGCAGGTAGCAGAGACCAGAGCTACCCGGTGATCCTAACCAGTGAATGTCACAGGACAAGGTGAGGCAGATTTGCTCCTTTTCACTCTCAGCAGGTGATAAAAACAGTGTATTGTAATGTTTTTCCTCCTGTTGCGCTTCTCAAAGCATTGGGAAGTATTTATTTTAAACTTCCCAGTTGCTGTGAGGGGCACAATTCAGTCACTAGTCCTGTGACAGAGAAGCATTGAGAACCTGCTCAAGTTACAAGCAACTTACTATCATGTAGTACCAGAAAGAATGAAATTAGCATCTTCCGAATGAAATATCCAGCAGCCTCCAGAAGGTGCTGAAATCCTTTGACATTTCCAAGGCTCTTTCACACTTTTCAAACAAGCTTGTCACAGTTTCGCAGAGCATCCTGAGTCTGGTGAAACTGCATATTCTGCAACTCTCGTTTCACTGAAACTTCAGCCAGGTCTGGCTTCAACTTGGCCGTCTCTGGTGCTCTGGTCAACTAGGAAATTGCATTATCTCATTCTAATTAAATCAGCTTTTCATCTTCTGCYGCAGTTTTCGCTGGGTTTTGGTCGTGCCTGTCTCCATCGCGGTGCTGTGAGTGATTAAGGCGTTAGCACATCCCACCGCTGCTGCTTTGAGCCATGTGCAGAAGGGCTCCTGTGCCTGAGCCCGTGGCTCTCTCTGATGGCATCGCTGGAGATGCCGGGCCAGGCTGTGATGAGTAAGAATCCTGAGTGGCTGGTGATGCTGTGAGTTGTGTTTTTCCTCTGCTGCTCATTTGATGCCTTGACTGTCTCCTGGTAGCCTGACCATGCTCCGTTCCTGTGGCCACTGTCATGGCTGCACTGTGCCTCCCTGCCAGTCCAGCACCTTGTCCAGGTTTGTAAAGGACAGGGTTTCCCCTCACCACCCCATCAGAGGCTGCATGCTGTAAATACTGCAGGATATTATATTTTACTTGGGCCAAGCTTTCTTTTTTGTTCCTAGAAGAATTCCACTGCAGGTTCACGGGATGCACTTTGGTTGCAAATGTTGGTGGGCTGCACCAGCACTGCCAGTGGGTCACAAAGAAGGGGGATCAGGCTGTCACTCCTGTCCCACCCGCATTCCAGCGTGGTTTCTGTGGCCATGCTGGCCACTAGCACCAAGTGTGACCATGGCTGAGCAGACTGGGCACAGGGAGCAGGCTGCATTTGTCCGTCTGGATGTTGTCCCAGGTGCCTGATGAGCCCTGTGGATCATGTGTCAGGACTGGAATAGCCCCGCCGGGGCAGGGAGCCTGTCTACAGGGATATTTATAAACCCCTGGGTCACTGGCTGCTTTGCAGGATGGGGCTTGTTATGGCCCCAGTGGGATAAGGGATATTTCCCTCCCCAGCTCAGTTTCTCCAGCTGGGACTGTCAGTGACAGCCCCCCTGGCTGCAGCAGAGAGCAGACACTTTTCCTTTCCCACTCCACCATTCACAGGGGTTTTGCTGGCRCCACATCCATCCCACACTGCCCTTCCTGCTCAGGACTCGTGCTGCAACCTCATGGGGCAGCTGGGGCAGAGAAATTCCCTCCTATCAGTGTCAGCAGAAGAGACAGCACCAGATTAAATTCACTCCCAGGGCTTTCCAGGTGCTTTTTAATCCATGACAGCTCCTGAGGAACACGTTCAGTTGTAGCTCAGCATCCCCAGCAGCAGAACGGGCAGGAGTCTCCCTGTTTCTGCAGGGTCCTGGCCACCAGTGCCTTTAATCCTCTGCCCACTGGTGTTTGCAGAGCCCCACAGGGCAGCAGCCCTGCAGGGAGTGGGAGAATCCAGGGGGCCACACACTGGGGAGGTGATGGCTACAGCCAAAGGGYAGCAGTGATGATGGTTCTCTCCCTGGCTGATGCCAGGTGGGCTGAGATTTTCCACATGCCTGGCAGCCGGGCAGTGGGATGAGGGCAGGCAGAGAGGGGTGAGGTACTGACTGCCCCTACAGTGTGAGAATGGGGCTGTCAGATGGGAGTCTGGCAGGAGCTGGTGGTGGTGACATAGTAGCTGAGCCCAGTGGGGTTGTGTTTTATGGGCTGGACGAGGGTGCCTGGGAAGGGGACGAGCTCTTCCTCCAGCTGGGATCACAGAATCACATGGTTTGGGTTGGAAGGGACCTTTAAAGGTCATTTAGTCCGGCCCTCTGGCCATGGGCTCCAAGTTGCTTCAAGCCCTGTCCAACCTGGCCTTGAACACTTCCAGGGATGGGCACCCACAGCTTCTCTGGGCACCTCAGTGCCAGAGCCTCGCCATCCTCAGTATCCAAAATGTCCTCCCATTATCCCATCTAACCCTGCTCTCTGTCAGCATGAGGCCATTGTCCCTTTTCCTGTTACTCCAGGCCCTTGTCCAAAGTCAAGAGAATTTTGAGAGCTGTGTAAAAAACTGCAAAGAAAACACAATATTATCTTTGGAAGCCAAAGAGCCCCCTTTCCTTTAGCACTGAAACTCCCCARAGCATTTTGAACAAGGCCTTTAAAGACACCTGGGTGCCCAATTCCCAGGGTTACCTGTGCAACCACTGACCTCTGTGACTGGACAGYCCCATGGACAAGTGTCAGTGGCACYRAGAGACGTGGCTGYTCTGCTCAATCATATAATATTCATCTTCTCCAATCCTCCATCCCYGGGGGATTTCCAGCCTATTTGCATAGGAATAATCTGGTTTCCTGGAGCCTGTGGAGATGCAGCAGCCCATTTTCCAGGGAAGGTGATGGCAGTGCAGGTGACCCGCTCAGGGYTGGGCTGTCACCCTGCAGGCATGAGGAGATGTGATGATGGATGGTCTCTCCCAGAGGTGCTGGAGGCTCAGCTGCACACCTCTGCTGTTCAGGGACTGTGAGCATCACCCAGAGCTGTGAGCTGCAGCTGCAGGCTGTGATGGGATGTTCCCAGGGGTGCTTTGGGATGTCCCGGAGGGGAGGCTGACAGCGATGGGGCACGGTGTGTGTGGCAGCAGGGACAGCTCCCTGTCCTGCTCGGGGCTGGCAGAGCCCTTCTGCTCCCCATCCCGCTCTGCCCGTGCTGCTGGGGCCGGTGCCTGCGCTGCTTTCAGGTGACACCGGTGCCGGCTGTCACCTGCTTTCGGCACGGGCTGTGCGGGGCTGGGGACACGGCAGGGACACGGCAGGGACACGGCAGGGACACGTGCGGTATCGAGGCCAGCGCAGCGCCAGCCAGCCGGGGGCAGGAGGATGGGAATTCATTAGCGGCTCCTTCCCGTGTAATTCAGGAGGCAGGGGATGCTTCTCCTTTGCCCAGGAGCAGGGTGAGTGATGGAAAGCGCTCCAGAGCGGAGAGGGAGGATGGGGTTGGTGATGGTCGAAATGTGGGGAAGGAGGGGGCTGTTCAGGGTGCCCAGGCAGCGGGGAGAAGTTTCAGAACAGATTAATCAGGAAGATTTAGGGCTGAGCCCCTTGAGGGGAAGCCCCTGAGCATCACCTGGTCCTGGTGCTGCAAAGCCCCCGCGGGAGCAATGCCGGGTGTCCTGGGGAGGGGGATGCCATCGCTTCCAGCCCTGACTCTGGTACTGAAATGCGAATTTCAGCACAGAAAGAACTACATTTCCCATCTTCCTTTGTGGCCCAGGGGAATAAGCAATTGGAAGATTTAAATAGACCAGGCCAACCTTTGGCACAATGTTTTTCCCTCCTCTTCTTCTTATCTATTGGCTGTCTAATCTTTTTCCCTGGCACTGGAGTGGCTGCCAAGCCTGGCATTAATTTTCCTTCCAAGCTTGCTAGGCCCATGAAGTAAACAGCCATGTGCATTCCTTACTCTATATTTAACAGCTGCAGTCTGTGCTGGGGGCAACTGCAACCGAGGGGAACCTTTGTAGCTTCCCAAATTCACAGCTTGTGAGGGTGGGAGTGGGGGAAGCTTTCTGCAGGGAGAAGAGGGATTTCTCTCCTTGCCGGTATTCGCAAAGCAGGTTGCGTTAAAGAGAGACTGCAATGCCAGCATCCCAGCCACGGTCCAGGGCCAGGGACAGGAACAACGTCCTCAACAGGGCTGAGTTCCTCTCCCTGAATCAGCCCTTGAAGGGGAACCAGGAGAGCAGGAGCTCCGGCAGGAAGCAGAGCGGCCAGGCYGGGGCAGCCGGTGCCCAGAACACCAACCCCAAGGAGCGGAGGCAGTCGCAGCAGCTGCCCGAGGAGGATTGCATGCAGCTCAACCCCTCCTTCAAGGGAATCGCCTTCAACTCGCTGCTGGCCATCGATATCTGCATGTCCAAGAGGCTGGGAGTGTGTGCCAACAGAGCCTCCTCCTGGGGAGGTGCCCGCTCCATGATCAACCTCCTGGGGATAACGGGGCACGGGATCCCCTGGATTGCGGGGACGCTCATCTGCCTGGTGAAGAGCAGCACGCTGGCAGGCCAAGAGGTGCTCATGAACCTGCTGCTAGGTGAGTGGCAAACCTCCCTCCCTGCTGGGAAAACCCAGCCCCGGTCACAAGGGACAGCAGCACTGGGACTCCTCCTCTGGCTGCTCCCAGCACCCGATGTGGTCGGGAAGCAGGGAGTGACCTTTAGGGTGAATGCTGCACTTATTGGCTCTCTTAGTCCCAGGAACTGTGGGTGACGGGTGTAGCAAGAAGTTGTGTGAGAGGGATGGAGGAACTGGTGACACCCAYGGAGCAGGGCCAGGCCCCTGGTGTGGCATGGGGCAGGGTTGTCCAGTCAGACTGAGAGAGTGGATACAAGCAGTGAAATCTTTCATTTAATCTGTGGTCATCTGYCTTGGTGTTTGGTCAATGGGGACGACATAAAGATACCAGTGTTTAATACCTGGATCAGTTCCTGAGGATGTTATTTCCATCCCCTTGCCACCTTCTGGACCAAACTGTGGCTCCACATGATGCAGTCCTGTCACCTTCCCTGCTGCAGTTGGCTCTCACATCCTCCTTCCCTTGGGTACCTTTCTTGCTGCTGTCCCCATTTCCATGAGCTAATTTGACCCAGAGGCTGTGTAGGCAGGCTGGGATGCCTCTGGCTCTCCTGCTGCTCTGTCCTTGCATGGCAGTGGTCAGCGTCCCTGTTTCTGGAGATTGGGATGTGTTATAGGGYTTGGCTTCTCCATGCTGCCCACTGGTGTGGACTGATGTCCCAGAAGTGAGCAGGATGAGCTCTAGCTGTGACTTGCCTTAAATCCTGACCCCAACCTGCCCTGGCCAAGGCTACCTGAGGATCTTGCTCTTCTCTCTCTTCTGCCTTTGGCACAGGGTCCAGTTGTCCTACTTTCCCTTGTGCCTAATTACCCTCTCCTCTGGCTGTGACCAGCCCTCATGTTTCACCCTCCTCAAAAACACAGCAATCCCACTTTTAGTTGGCAGGAGAAATTGAAAACATTGGATTTAGACACTTTCTTCTCAGGGAGCACTTTGAGGGGCTGTAGGGACACTTTATTTCACAGGCACCRCAGGAAAGGGACGTCCTGTCTGCAGGGGCCGACTGTGACGTGATACAGCTCAGCAACGTGGCCCCAGTTTTTGGGTTTGTTTTTTTTCACAAGTTCATCCTTCAGAGAGGGTGAAGACTGAACTGGACTGGCTTGAAAAGCACAGTGGTAGCTGCCTTTTCTCCCCTGTGCCTTTGGAGGAGACTGTCCTSGTGCTGTGACATCTCACGGGGCGAGGCCGTGGCGGGGAAGGAGCCAGAATAGCACCAGCGTGATGCAGAGCCCGCCAGCGTCAGCAGTTCTTGCAGGGGCTCCTCGGGCCATGGGGTCAGCCCCTCGCTGGGAGCAGAAGATCCATTTGAAAGGGCACGAGGATGAAATAGTAGGTGACTAACAGCGAGTGGCACAGTTTGCAGATGTCTCCTGATCCAAGAGCCTGCGATGGGGCTGGAGCCTGAAAACCGACCGCTTTGACTCCAAAATATCTGAGATCCCTGCAAAGAGCTAATGCCCCTTTTGGCTTGAAAACAAGGAAGGTTTTCTCGCCCTTCTGTTGCCATATGAGGAGGCCAAATGCCAAGCTAGGTCAGGCTCATGGTCTGAGTTTATTGAGTGGTGGCTGGGAGAGCTCAGCCCTGCACCACTGCCTGCACCTCCAGGTCTCCTGAGCTCCAGTGTGGTGCCCAGGGACAGGTTGAGGGTTCTGAAATCTTGCTTCCTTGCCTAGRCACACTACTCCCAGCCCTCCTATCCCCCTGCCAAGAAAGGAGATAGTTAATTTGTGTGAAGGACCAGTTCCAAAAGTCTGGCAGCCTCCAAAGAGCTCCAGTGCTCCCTCTGAACAGGCAGCACTGACCAATGGGACTGGCCAAGGTGCCCTGAGCCTCTCATTGTCAGAGCTTCTGCAGCAGGACTTGTGTCACCCCACGGAGCACATCTCTGCTGTGAGAGTGGCCTTGGGCTGATATTTGAGATTTCAGAAACTCCAAGTATCCGAGTAGCTGCYGTGGGAAGGAGCCCAGGGCTGGTGAACCTCGACAGCTCCCAGGAGAAGYGGGATCTTGTGTAGACAGGAAGGGCATGGCACCTTGGATGCATCTGGCATCCTTGGTCCCCCTTGCTGCTGCTTTCCTGTGGTTCAAACCCTCCAGGATGTGGTGAAGAGCCCTCCTGGACGGGCACAGGGCAAAGGGAAGGGAATCTCCTGGTGCTTCCCTGCTGGAAGAGGGAAGCCGGGAAGTTGGGGTTGTCTGTGGCTCCCCTTCCGTACCTCCCCGGGCTCTCCTCCCTTCCCCCTGCTTGCTTGAGGGTTTGATACATCAAGCAGAATTTCTGATGCAGTCTCTGGGCAGGGAGCCAGCCCATCATAGAGCACTTGTTTAGGATTTGCAATCAGGCTTCCAAGGCGAGGAGACTGCTGAAATGGGACTGGGAACCTGGCAGAGGCACCACTGCAGATGGAGGAGGAGCTCCCGGCAGGGGCTTTGCCAGCACATGTGGGAGCATTTCGGGTGAGGGGCTCTGACCCCGGCATGCTCCATCCATCCCCACTGCAGATGTTGATTAGCAACCCCAAGCAATGTTTTCCCTCCATGTTTGTCATCTGTGATGGAATTTATTGATTCTCTTTCTCTCAGTAATCTTTTCCAGCAAATGCCAAACAGCCAGCGAAGCGCACACAGGCTGTTACTGAAAAGATGGAAGAAACCAGATATCTGTGCCCACTGTAAAAATCTTTCTGCCAGGATTTGCTTTCGGGAAGATTGTCTCAGCATTACCAGCCCTCGCTGAGTAAAAGTCAGGGAGAAGGTGCTCACCCCCTTGGCTAAATGGAGAAAATCAAAACTCAGGAAATCCCCCAGTTATAAAGTTCTTTTTTTTGTCTGCCAGTGTTGGAACTTTTAGGACCATTCAAGATTTTCTCTGCAATCACAAGGGTTTCATGGAAATTAAGGTGCTTAGAAAGTCATCTGAACCTTGCAGTCAGGCTTGCAGGGGGAAAGCAGTTATAAAAGTTTCARTAAAATTCCCAGATCTGCTTCAGAACCAGACATAAACTCCATTAAACCCTGAAAGCAGCAGTCCCTCTGTTTCTGGTTCTGATCCATCTGGTGAGGATGTGGATCCAAATTTAGTGATTCATTGACTGCAAAGCCAGCAAAGAACATTTGGATCATTGATCTAACCCACGGCAAAATACAGGCTGTAGCACATCCCTTAATTTATTCCTGTTCAATTTGTTAAGGGAAAAAACCCAAACACTCAATCTGATGTACAGTTACAAGCGAGGGTGAACTTGTCAGAGCCATTTCTRTATTACTGCAGTGCTAGGGATCCTCACAAGTGCTTTTAGCTGGACTCTCCCCTTCATTGCATCTCCATACCCTTCTCTCTGCTGCTCAACAGCTCTTCCAGCCAACATCTCTTCCGCCTTTCAATATTTTGGATAGCGCTCAAGTAATTTTTTCGCCTCCTATTTATTAAGCTAAACAGGCTGATCTTGTTAAACTGATGGTCTTTGCGGATCCAGGCACCTTCTCACTGCAGTGGGGATGGAATATGGTCAGTGGGGATGGAATATGGTCAGTGGGGGTGGAATATGGTCAGTGGGGATGGAATATGGTCAGTGGGGATGGAATATGGTCAGTGGGGGTGCAATATGGTCACCTACCCACAGTGGTCACTCCAGTGAGCCCATCTCTTGTGTTTGGGGAGCCAAACCACCACTGTGTTTAGTTATCTGCAGTCCAGCTGCATGCCTTTGCTGTTGGGAGGTTTTTTTCTTGGATTACCCTTGTACAGAAAATCTGTGCTTGGTTTGAAGTGCCAGTAACTGGTTCTGCTGCGGTCGTGGCTCTCTGGAATAGGTATTGAGACTGGGAGAAGGGAAAGCCCCTGTGTTCTCTTCTTCTCCTGTCTCAGTGACACTGGTCCAGTGCTCAGCCATCCCCAGCTGGCTCTGCATCCCGTGTGGAGGGGCAGGATGGCTCTTTGGGGCTGTCACTGGAGGGGCAGGATGGCTCTTTGGGGCTGTCACTGTCACTGCAGGGGCAGGATGGCTCTTTGGGGCTGTCACTGTCACTGCAGGGGCAGGATGGCTCTTTGGGGCTGTCTCTGTCACTGCAGGGGCAGGATGGGTCTTTGGTGTCTCACTGTCACTGGAGGAGCAGTGGCTCTTTGGGGTTGTCACTGTCACTGGAGGGGCAGGATGGCTCTTTGGGGCTGTCTCTGTCACTGGAGGGGCAGGATGGCTCTTTGGGGTTGTCACTGTCACTGGAGGGGGAGGATGGCTCTTTGGGGCTGTCTCTGTCACTGCAGGGGCAGGATGGCTCTTTGGTGTGTCACTGGAGGGGCAGGATGGCTCTTTGGTGTCTCACTGTCACTGGAGGGGCAGGATGGCTCTTTGGGGCTGTCACTGGAGGGGCAGTGGCTCTTTGGGACTGTCACTGGAGGGGCAGTGGCTCTTTGGGGCTGTCACTGTCACTGGAGGGACAGGATGGCTCCTTGGGGCTGTCACTGAGCATTTATCCCATTAAGTGAAGCAGTGCCTCAGGGTGTGGATGTATCATCCAGCAGCGTGTCAGGCTGGGGGTGAGTGAATGCCACAAGAGGAGGAGAGGAGGAGCCCAGGGCTGCTTCTCCCCTCCTGGAGGTCAGTGAGGAGGAGTTCTTGCTCTGTCCAGCCTTCTCCCTGAGTACTGMCATAGCTTCACTCTGACCAGTAACAAGCCATGGTATTCTGAAGCATCACTTTGCAGATCACCTAAAAAAAGATTATAAATACATATATATGGTCAGAACTCTATGAGCCCACCCTGGCAGCTTCTTGCAAATCAGCCCTGCAGATTTGCAAGAAATTGGTGATTTGGGAAGGGAAGAGAGCAAGAAATGCCTTCACCAAGCCCCTGAGACCCCCTGACCCTGCTCCATCAATACGGATGTGCTCCAGGTATTTTCATGCTTCTCTTTGGAGGCTGTGAGATGGAAATGCAGACAGTCCAGCCCGTG